CCTAACCTAACCTAACCTAACCTAACCTTACCTTACCTTACCTTACCTTACCTTACCTTACCTTACCTTACCTTACCTTACCTTACCTTACCTTACCTTACCTTACCTAACCTTACCTTACCTTACCTAACCTTACCTTACCTTACCTAACCTTACCTAACCTTACCTAACCTAACCTAAACCTAACCTAACCTAACCTAACCTAACCTAACCTAACCTAACCTAACCTTACCTACCTACCTACCTACCTACCTACCCATACATACGTACGTACGTACATACATACGTACATACGTACATACGTACATACGTACATACGTACATACGTACATACGTACGGTTATACATGCATACATACATACATACATACATACCTGTACACACATACATACCTGTACATACATACATACATACATAATTATACATACATACATACATACATACATACATACAGACACACATACATACATACATACATACATACATACATGTCTCTGCATACATACATAACTATACATGCATGCATACATGCAGACATACATACATACATGCATACATACATACATAACTATACATACATACATACATACATACATACATACATAATTATACATACATACATACATACATACATACATACATACATACATAACTATACATGCATACATTCATGCATACAGACATACATGCATACATACATACATACATACATACATACAGACATACATGCATAACCATACATACTTTCATAACCATACATACATACATACATACATACACACATACATACATACATACATACATACATACATACATACATACACACACACACACGTACATACGGACATACGTGCATACGTACATACATACGTACATACATACGTACATACATACGTACATACGTACATACGTACATACGTACATACATACATGCATGCATACATACATACAGGCGTACGTGCATGCGTACATATGTACATACAAACATATGTACATACGCAGATACGTAGATACATACATACATACATACATACGTACATACATAACTATGCATACATACATCACACGCACATGCACGGTAGCAGCCTTAGTTGTAAATTTCCCCCCTCCCCTCCCCTCCCCTCCCCTCTCTTTTTTCTCTCTCTTCTCTCTGTCGCTCTCTTTCTCTTTGTCTTTCTCTTTCTCGCGGCTGGGCCGTGTGCTGGGTTCGCTGGAAGTAGCAGCTCTGTTGTAATTTAGTATATTTTGTTGTGGTATCATATAGCTTATATAACTTGGTAAACTTGGCCCGCTGCACTAAATCTCAATGCAACCCCCTAAGACCCACACCCCAAGACCCCAAACCCTAAACCCTGAACTCCGAGATCCTAGGCCCTACGAAAACCCGGAGGAGTATGCCCAGCAGGAACCCTTCGCCGAAGACGAAAACATTAAGGAGTAAACCCAGCAGGAACTTTTGACCCAAGACGAAAACCCTGAGGAGTAAACCCCGCAGGAACTTTTAGGCGAAGCCGAAAACTTTAAGGAGTAAGCCCAGCACGAACCTTAGACCAAAGACGAAACCCCGAGGAGTACACCCAGCACGAACCTTTGGCCGAAGACGAAAACCCCAAGGAGTAAACCCCGCAGGAACCTCTGGCCGAAGACGAAAGCCCTAAGGAGTAAACCCAGCCCGAAGCTTCTGCAAAAGACGAGAACCGCAAGGAGTAAACCCCGCAGGAAATTTTGGCCGAAGACGAAAATCCTAAGGAGTAAACCCAGCAGGAACCTTTGACCCAAGACGAAAACCCTGAGGAGTAAATGCAGGAACCTTTGGCCCCAGCATGAACCTTGAGGAAGCACGGATCTTTTGCGAAAGACGAAAACCTTGAGGAGGAAACCCCTAGGCTCCGAAATAGAGCAAGACAAAAGTTATAGCCAGATGCGTGTTTTTCCACCCTCTGCCGAGATTCGTTGTTTTGTGGGACGCAAAGAAGTTACAACAAAGATGTTTTGTTGGAAAAGCAGAAAAGTCACATCTAGGAGAAAAGTTACACTTAAGTGTTCTACCCACATGTGCACATGCAAGAAAAGCAAAGACATCGCCCAATTAGCCTTCATAATGGCTGCAATCAACACGGGTTGTTGCCACCGCCATGAGTCATACTAGTAACCAGTAAGCAGCAACAGAAGCACTGCGGAGAGACAGCATCACAAGACTGGTAGGCACAAGCAGAATCATCGCTACGACTACCTGTGCTGATCTCTCTTTCTTAATGTTGGTGTGGTTTGGGGTATACATGCTCTCATTATGCTAGCCATGACATTACTCATTTTTGTTTCTAGAAGCAGCATGAAAGTGTACTTGATCATACTGCTGACGATGTTCATCATGTGCTGATTTTCTTACTGGAGCTCTTTCTGTGTTGTGTACGTGTATGAGCGTGGGCCGTATTCCTGTTGTCGTGGTTGCCAGTGGTGCATAACAGCGCCCCACTGAATGGCTTCTGAAGCAGCAGTGTAGGCTTGTCTCCAGAGAATTGCATTGTGACAAGCTTCACGAGTGCATTGTGAATTCGAATTTTCCAACCTTGGAGGAATTCCAGTTCTGACCAGCAGCCTGCAAAACTTGTGACTGGTCCCATCCAGGCAGCTGCGGAAGCGGCTTGCGGACGGAGCCAGGCTTGAAGTTTGGAGCAAGTCAAAGCCCACTGAGCACTCTGTCAGCTCATATTGTGCACATGGCTATGAGATGCTGTGGCAGGCTGTCGGGAGATGTCCTGGGAGAGGCTGCAAGAAGGGTGGCTTGTGGATGCTTGGGGTGCTTTTCCCGAGCTTGCAGAAGGCGCTAACCAGCAGCTTCCATGCCATGGACGACATGCTGCGGTCTCCGGAGCACGAGCGGCAGCTCTTGGCCCTGAAGCAGGCGCGTCGCGCCTCGTCGCGTCGCGGCTCGATACGGCTCACGGATCCATCTGCAGGTGGCCAGAACGACCTCGAAAGGCCCTTCCTGTGACAGTTTCGATTCCGTGGCCTCCAGGAGCCACTTGCTCTGCCGTTTTGCTCAGGCATTGGGGGAGCTTCCTCGTCGTCGGGCTCCTCCTCCGACTCAGGCACTGGCACATGCGAACAGCACTGGGCCCATGCGGCCTATCATTTGCTGTGTCATGCTATGTCTCAGGGTCATCCTCTGGATCAGACTCGGAGGATGGGAGTTGAAGATGGTTGAAGCACGTGCTACACTACCCCCCCACGTACTTTCACCCTGCTGGCAGGCCGAGGAAAAGGATGAAGGCAAGAAGCCTCATGGGGTCTGGCCCCAAGCCGGATCGCCCGCCATGCTGCGCCCAGAGCATGTGAGACTAGATGTCGGGCCGCATCTCCGACCTGCACTTCCTTTCAGGTTCTCTCCTTGTTGTCCAACTCCATCCAGTCCACACTTGCCCAGGCCTGTTGGTATGGTGCGACTGTTGCAAGCCTTTCACCCCCTCTGATTCTCTCCCTTTGTATTTGATGCAAAGGCCATCAGTAGGACTGACGGCTGCCAAACAGAGATAATCTTCATTCTCACGCCAGCCTGCGGCATCTTAGTTTTTGTGCACTCCGGAGGCCAGAGACAAGGGCTCACTGTCGAGAGAGGAAGCCAAGCAGGCGCAATGGTGCCTTTACAACAAGACGAAGCAAGCCAAGCTCTCTTCAGGTGATGATGAAAATGGCCCTGCTCAGGCCTGGCTCTGACTGGACTCAAAGTCGTCTGCCCCTCTTCCGGTGGCCCTCTGTAATGCAATCAGGAGACTCGAAAGTCTGCAACTGAGCTCTCTGCGCTTGCCCTGTCAGCCTTGCAAGTCCTTGATAGCGCATGGTCAATGCGTTGACAGATTCGGACGGTTCGCTTGCCTTTCATGAAGCTCCGCGATTTAAATTCTTCACCGGCTGGCCCGTGCTGGTTCTGCGAAGCCCCTGTTAGGAAACCAGCTGTTCTAGTCGAAGACCTGCTGAGGCAAAGCTCCATCCCTGAGTCCGGATGCGGCCGCTGCGGACAACGTCGGGCGGCCTGCTTAGCTTGCGGCAGTGTTTCTTCTCGTTGATCTGTCGGATGGGTTTTCCGGACCGCAAGAGCACATGTAACTTGGAACTAGGCCGAAATCCCATTCTCAGCCGGTGCATTCAGTCTTCCACGCAGCAATCTTGCCTTTGTGCCGTCGCCCGCGGGCCTCTCTGAGGTGTACCGCCGTCTGCGTCCTTCTCAGCGACTCGGAGATCGACGGAGCCCTAAGCTGCAGCGCAGCCGGCACTCTGCGCGCACGGGTCTGCGCTGTGATGCTCTGGGCCGAGGTGTGTGCGAACGCAGGCGACTCGCGAGCAGTCCTCTGCCGTGATTCGAAACCGGCAACCTGGCTGACCCGGGCCTTGAAAAGACTCAGACTCTCTCGCTCTCTGTCTCTCGCTCTCTCTCTCTCTCCCTCCCTCTCCCTCCTCTCCCTCCCTCTGCCTCCCCTCCCTCCCTTCCCTTCCCTTCCTTCCCTTCCTTCCCTTCCTTCCCTCGCTCCCTCGCTCCCTCGCTCCCTCGCTCGCTCCCTCTCTCACTCTCTCTGTCTCTCGCTCTTTCTCTCTCTTTCTCTCTTTGCTACAGAGCTGCGAACGCACGCGGCACGGTCTCAAGGTCGAACTCTCCCAGGATCACAAGCCAAACGAAGCCGGCGAGCGCGAGCGCTGGCGCCCCGGAACAAGATCTGTGCCCAACATGTAGGTATTTATGTAGAATGTAGGTATTGTAGGACTGCTTGCATCTGGAGGTATCGAAGCTGCCGGGGGCCGCATCGAAGAGATCCCCGTTGGCGTGCGGGCTTGGGGCTTAGGAACCTGGTCTCAAGAGAGGGGCAGCGAGACGCAGTGTGAGGTTCACTACCGTGTCAACGGCAACCTGAACCTCTCGCGTTCTATTGGAGATTTCGAGTACAAGCCTGGCTCCAAGGCTTGAGGATGCGTGGACAGGTGCGTCTCCTCTCTGAGGTTCTCGGGACTCGTGCAGCGCATGAGGAATTATTGTAGTAGCCCCACAGATCGAACCTGGCCAGCTGGCGCACTGGAATGCACTCAAAGTCTGTGCTCCTCAAGTGCAGTTAAACAGAGAGACTTCTTCTCTCGTAAGACGTAAGACGTAAACTCTGGTACTCTGCCTAGCTTGTGGCCCAAGGAAGCAGCCCAGCCTGGGCCACGAGCGGCAGATGATCTGTTCGACGTCCCGGCCCAAGGGTTGAGGGGTTTAGGGTTTAGGGTGCAAGTCCAAGTTTCAACGAAGCCAAAGTCACGCGGTTTGTTGCAGTCTGCATCACAAGGTGAAGATCGAGCTTGCTGCAGCAGCCGTTTCGTAGAAACTGCAAGACCGACATGCTCACTGGTAAGATTCTAGCAGGTGTTAGAGGGTTTGCTCTACTGTCTCTCCCTCGTGATTCAGAATTTTTAAAGACGTAAAGGTGTTTTCCTGTAAGGTCGTCAAGGTTTTGATGAACAAGTGTTGTCACGAGTGCAGTCCCGATCCGAGGCCCGACATTGTCAAGATGCCCTTAAGCAAGGACACTTAGTGTGTGTGTGTGTGTGTGTGTTTGCCAACATTTAGTGTACGCTTCCGGGTCTGAGATGCACTTGTTCTTGGCGCCTCCTGTTTCGGTCTTGCCTGTTTACCTTTGAGAGGAGGACGATTTCGTTGTTCTGGCATGCGATGGGGCTCTGCACCCAGCCACTTCTGATGCTAGCATATGATACGGACAAGTTGGAGGACATGTCTTGTTGCACAGCTTATGTTAGAATCAGTCGTCCGCCTCGGTTCTCGGCCGACTTTCATGGCTGAGGTATGGGATGTGAAAAGCAATGCGGATGTCTGCGAATTCATCGGCAAGCGATTGGCTGCCGGTGAGGAGATGTAACGTTTGTGCCGTTGTTGTCGGCTCTTCGTCGCAACAGAGGAGATCGTGCAGGTGATAGAGGGATTGCTGGACGGCTGCATTGCAGAGGATCCGAAGAAGGCTCATGTCGCAGTCGCAATACTAGCCTCCACCCAAGATTGAACTGCCCAAACAACAAAGAGACTTCAGATGCTTAGACTTCTGGGCACGCGTGCATCCATTGGGCACGACCCTACACCGCCCTGGCGTTCTCGCAGAACTTGTGATGTCAGGGTTTCCTTGCACTTTCTCGCTTGCTAGCGGCTGGTTACGGCTACTAGTAGCTTTTGTCTAGAGCTCCAGCTTCAGCCGCCTCGCAGACACATGGCCTTGGTGGTGACAACATGACCTGCGTCGCCGCCTAAGCATCTGACATTGGCAGTTCCATGCTCAGCAATCAGATCCTGTTCTGTGCTGTTTTCAAAGCCGAGATGATTGTGCAGCTCGGCAACCGCAAGGACAAACTGTGACTCTCGGGGAGCCAGTGTAAAAAGCTTAAGAGGAGACATCAAGGCTCCTTGACTGCTCTTTAGAGCTGTAAATGAACCCTGCGCAAACTGCGTATGGCGCTCAGCCAAAATAAGACATTGTTTTCCGTGCGCTGCTGCATGATTGTTTGCTCTGTACAAGTGGAGGCAGGCAGTGTGCACGTGCTGGAAGGTGGGGTGGTTCAAAGAACGGTACATCTTCAAACGAATCTCAGAACCCTATATCTCGAAGTAGCAGCACGTGTGATTCAAGGGTCGATGGAACAGCCCGCGGATCACAGACTTACTTGCAGCCTGTAAAGCTTGCTGCAGACTTTCACAACTGTATGCCGTGCTGTGTTGGCATGTGTCGGCTCACGTCACCGGGCCCCTCCCTACCAGTCGGGTGCCCGCCCGTTTTGTCGTCCAGGATTGTGGTCGTCCCCGAATCGAAGACGCAGCTCGCTTTGTTCTGTTCGAACGGGTTGGTAAATAATTGCTTAAGGTTTATGGTTTAGAGCAGGTTTAGGAGCTAGGTTTTATTTAAGGTTTTAGGGTTTAGGGGTTGTGGGATGTTCTGAAAACAGGTATAGATTTGAGATTTAGGCCTTAAACCATCGGCGAATTTCACGTTGTCGGTCGTTGTCTATGATGAACCGGAATCGCCAACTGACGGGGCCTGTTTAAGGCTCTAGATGAACCGGAATCGCCAAATGAAGGGCCATGTTCAAGAGAAGTATGATGAGCCGGAATCGGCAAACGAGGGGGCATGTCTAAGATATATGATGAGCCGAGCTCTTCTGCATTCTCCCAAGTGGGCTCCGAGTGAGAGTGCCTCCGAGGCTCCGTCTCAGACATGGCTTGAAGAGTATACTCCCTCAGCTCCGGTGGGGGGCCGCGCCATCGTGAAAAGACTCATAGTGGAGGCACAGACAATCGTTTGTTCTGCCCTTCGTGAGCATGTCACCTCAAGTTTGGATGCCAGCGGCTTTCGTTTTGCTGTCGGTTCTGTATCTGCTCCAAAGTTGATTCTGTGCATCGACAGCCGTAGCTCATCTTCCTAGCCTTCTTTCGCCGTTACCCTCTCATGCCCCAGAGCCCGCGTTTGATCAATACGTTGAAGACCAGATCCTCCCACAGGCGTTTCCCGGTGCTGTTACGATCGGTCTGCAAGATGCGACATTAAGTCTGGAACAGCGCCTTATGGCTAGCTGCATGCTTCTACCGAGATGGCAGACAGACAAGACAGGCAAGTGCGATGGTGTATCAAAGCGAGTTGCGGCTAGTCACGAGATGCAAGGGAGAAAACTGGTCGGCACCTATCCAGAAGCCCCCATTGTTGTGCTTCGTTTTAAAGGGGGTCAGACTTGGTCCCCATGCGCAGCCAGCAGTGCCTTCCTGCTTGGGATGGCTTTCCTTGATGTCGGCCACTCAGCGGCCGTCGGATTTCGTGACTTTGAGCGGCGACTTGGCCAGGAGATCTCAGAGCCGAAGCTCAGGTCGCCAAAGTCGTCGGCGGTCCTCCAGCTGCTAAGGCCGTCCCTTTGGTGATCGGAGCAAGACCCAGACTTTTGCCCACCGAGGCAGCTTGATCTTCCTTCAACAGCAACCAAGGCCCGGATCTACACCCTTTGTTGCGGTTTATACTGCCCAATGTGTCCTGTTTGTGCAATTACTGTGATGTCCTGCTCTCACTGCAGGGACCAGAGCTGTTGAGACCACAGCAGTGTTGGACAGGCCCAGATCCGCGCGGCTTACCTTCGAAAAGTGAAGGCCGGCATGTGGCGCCTTGAGTAACCATCTGAGATCCTCTGCCCGGCAGTCGGCTACATCACATGTCCTTTTTCTGCGATGTGTTGATGACCTTTGAAACGTAAAATGTTTTTCGGTCCTAGCCACGTGAGTGGATTGGCTGTTGGATCACGCTTTGGGGCAGTTGCAGGCTTGAGATGCAGATACCGATTAGAAAAATAATGCAGCATCATGCAAGCCAATTAATTGAGCCATACGTCCGCCACAGGTCGGAACTTCGTCGATTGATTGCAGGATGTTTGGCTTGGTATTTGAAGGAGGTATTTGCATGGTACCGCATCTGAATATCGGCGAGGGTTCCCATGACCAATAGCTTGCTTACAATACCTTCAGCTCTGTAGCAACACAAGCAAGCTATGAGTCCGTTCTTTGTGTGGGCATCGCTTGACAGGTGCTGCATCCTGATGTTGCAGGCAAGTCTGCGGAGGTTCGGGGCGCCCTTCATTCCTTGTGACTTCCGCTTGCCGACACAGCATGTCAGATGTGATTGCTCAGAGAGGTTGCAGTTGAAGTTAAAAGCGCAGTTTCTGAAGCCATGTAAGTGGACATGCGGTTGCACAGGAGAGGTTTTGTCAGCTGAAAGAAGTCGGGCACTCATTTACCTGGTGGCTTTTGACCATGCGCGGCATCTGGGCATGTGCAGTCTTGGGGACAGCCCTGGCTCGGAGGACTACGAACATGGCATGGAACAGCTGAAGAAGGCAGGTAGTCTGGCTTTTGTTCGGCTTGAGGCTTTTCAGTTTGCAGCAAAGAACCGCTTCGACTTTGGTCAATGCACGCCTTCTGAGTTCCGGCCCTGTGCTTGCAGCCTTGTTCAGGGTTCCATCTATGGCCACAATACGCAACGCCAAGCTCTCAAAGCGCAAGCATCGTACAGTCTCATGACATGCAAAGAGAGATCGGTTGCTGCGAAGAGTATGTCTATGTGCCGTTTGAAACACACATGTTGTGCAGGATCCTGCTGGGGGCTAGTGTCGTAGTTTTCCTCTTCTTGCATGTCGAGGTCATGGCAGCCAGCCCGAACATCCATTTGTCGGAGACCTATGCGCGCTCACATGCATGTCTAGAGTCGGTTCGCTCTTCTGACATGACCTGCTAAGTACCATCCACCTCACCACCACTCTTATCAACATCGCTATCCTCACCATCACCACCAAGAGCACCATCATCAGCGCCACTGGGCACGGAGCTGAGTGGTTCGTTGCCTGCAATGCGTTAGTTGTCTCGGCCGACACAGGATTGGCATGTCCTGCAGAGTTTACTCACCTTTTTGCCTTTTTGCGCTTCCATAGCTTCAGAGGAGGTGGAGCCTTTGTGACTTTATAGCTTTCCCAGGACCCCTATTCAAGCCGGCATGGAGCCGGCCAAGGCGACTTCGGGGCGCTTCAAAGGTCGGCGGGGTGTCGGCACGGTGAGCACCACTTAAAGCTGGCAACAATCAAGAACTAGCAATATGTAACCGACCGATGCTCGCCCCAACCATGCAGGGGGACGCGACAAAATTGTCGATACCCCCTGGCAGTATTTCCCGACCGGAAATAGTAGTGAATTGGGAAACCATTCCATCATCATTATTTCTCCCACCGCACCGGGGATTCATAAGAAAAGCTAGCATTGTGGGTTTAGTAAATTTTGTAAGGGCTTTATAAGAAAGCTCAATCAGATCTGAACTATGGCTGTAACGCGGTGAATGAAGGCTTACCCTGGCTTTAGGAAGGGCTTGCCTGATGCCCTCCGAAAAAACACTCATCACTGCATGGGAAGCCAGTTCCTTGTTATTGGTTTTGTTTCCGCCCGTCCCGCTCCCCCTGCCCTTCCCGGGTCCCAAAAGCTATTATTGTAATCTCACCTCTTCTCCTCCTGATAAGTCATCATAATAGAATTTGAGACCCGTGAAAAATGTTATTTGGCCTCCACTGCTTGTTTCTCCTTCGTGCAATAGAAGCTCAATCTGGCTTTGATAAGAGAATGAGAAGGCTAAGTAGGCGCTACATCTGGCCATGAGAAGGGCCTTAACAAGGGTTTCATCACCAAGCTTGAATAAGGCCACATGTGGCTTCAATCGCGGCGTAATACGGCGCCAAAAAGGGCTTTGATAAGGGTTTCAATCCTCCTCTCTCCCCGAACCCACAACGGAAGACAAATCAAGAACCCCAGCGGAATAATCGCCCACACCCCCTTCCCATCTCCTCTGGTTTTTCAGCTGGTCGTTCTTCTCCTGCCAGAGAAAGTTCTCGTTCTGAATTTCCCCTTCCGCCTCGTTTAAAGACAAAGCTCGCTTGTGCTTTCTAACTATGTTGTGTCACAGCAGACCTACGACAACCAATGCGCGACAGGCGGGACCCCTTCCACACGGGTGAGGTTCTCAAAACCTGATCAAACATCAAGCGCTGTTGGCATAGGTGCGCTTACCACCGAGGGAGCTCGGTTCGTTCCTGCTTCAACCTTGCTACTCGTGTGCAAAACTCAGGGAAAAGAGCTCGTTCGCGACCGCGCAGGCATGATTATTCATAGGCTGTGGTATTGTGGTATGATGGAAGTATGGGCCAGGAGAAGTGGGCTTGGTTCGGTTACCGCTCGGGACGGGATGTGGACTCGTACATGAACGCTGTAGAAGACAGCCTTCACAAAGAAGATCTTGGAAGAGCGCGGTGCAAGAATGGGGAACGCAGAATGCAGAAACACTATCACCCCAAGTACAGGGATCTGCTCAAAGAGAACAAGGACTGGGGAATCCGTTCCACAAGAACAGGGCGAACCAACCTGTTCCACTGGGAGGGAGGGGAATATCCAGGAATATGGCAGAATATAGTGAGCCACATATAATCCCTTACCCCATAGTCCATATATGGATATAAAAATAAATAAATAAATAAATATATATATATGGTGCAATAAAATCACCTCTTAGTGGAGGAGGGGAGGGGGGAGCCTCTCCCCCATCTCAAAAGACATAGTAAGTTCGACACGCAGCAGAATGAGCCAATAGAGCTTGTAAGTAAGGCAACCTGAGAATCCATGGATACGAACCACAAGAAGACCAAGGCTTCGATAGCAGTACGCTTGTGAGAACGGGTTTCAATGGAACGTGTCGTCTCAAATCTCAGTCGAGCAGCTGTGCTGGCAAAAGGCAGCTGCATGTCCTCGTGTACGATTCTCGAATATCAAAGTGTTGGAGCGTTTATCGGCACTCGATGTATACAGTTTATACAGTCCAGCTAAATATTCCGCCAGATTGCGAAATGTGGCACTGGGCGCATCTGGTGCTGGCACCTTAATTATCTGAATTCGTCCTAAGACGACAACATGGCTGGTGCAAGAGGTTTGCCTTCTCCTAGAAGCCATTTGCAATGCCTGCCTGCTTGGTTCAACATTTTCCGCAGGGCATAGGGCAGGACAGTCTGACGAGTCTGATGTAAATCGTTGGCTGCAAGCACCGGTCTTAGCTGACGCTGTTAAGGTCTTTTGCCTTGCCATCTACTCCTTGTCGCCGTCGACCCACGCTGCCATGGCCCCTGGCTTTCCCATCCAGGACCGCTGCAGTTGTTCCCATGACTGCGATGAGCTGATTCCTTATATAATAGTTGCTGAACAGGAGCAGGATTAAGAGCAAGGGAAGGCACCGAAGCAGTAGTAGTAGCAGCAGCAGCAGTAGCAGCAATAGCAGTGGCAGGGGCAGTGGCTGTCTGTGGAAGTAGCAGTGGCAGCCGTCGTCGTAGTAGTAGTAGCAATAGTAGTAGCAGCAGCAGCAGCAGTAGCAGCAGTCGCAGCAGCAGAGTAGTAGTCGTCGTCGCCGTGGTGGTGGTGGTGGTGGTGGTGGTGGTGGTGGTGGCACTAGCAGTTCTAGTGCTGGCGCCGGTGCCAGCAGTGGTGCTAGTAGTAGTGGAAAGTATTCTGTACCGGCACGGTTCGCCAGGATCAAAGGAACGTCGATGACGAGGCATCCGACGATTTAAACAAGATATCGGTTCCGGGCTTCGGGCTGACGGTTCTGAGTCTCGGGCATTTCCAGCGAGCCGATGGCAGCGTCGGGGGATCTGAATTGAAGCTTCCGCTTTGCAGACGGGTCATCCTGTACTCCTCCCGGTCAGGCTCACGATCCTCACTCATTCACGACTATGTCATAATATGAATATCCCATTACATTATTGCCTATGTTTGTTGTGTTCATCAAGGTGTGGACATCCGTCTACTTATCTACTTCGTCGGATTATGGTCTAAATGGCGTACAAAGCATTTTGACTCTCGTGCACCACAGATCACAGATTGCTATCGATCACAGTTTCGGCTGCTCGGATCCGTCAGTTCGATGAATCGAGGTCAAAGGCCCAGGTGAGTAGAGCCGCTCGCTTGGATAGCATGTGGCAGCATGCGACTACTAGGGCGCGTGGAGAGCTCCGAACAAGGGTACAGCACTTCCCAAACTCTCTCATCAGGGACTTGAGAGATCCACCTCGCAGTTGCCTGGTCGACTTTTTCGGAGCTTGGAGATCTGCCGGGGAACATACTGACACAGCAGTACTGGCTTCGGGTTCGGCCGGATGCTTTGCCAGATCGTTGCTAAGCGCATCGGAGCAGAAGTTCGAAGTGAGTCCAGGCATCAAAGGATGCCAAGTCAAGGACGCCGCAGAATTCAATTGCCAGTGAGCCCGCTCTGCGGTAGCAGCATGAAGTTGGGATGGGACTTTTGAACGAAGACAGAGCTTTCTATTTGTCTCGGAGCTTCGCATACCTGATCAGCCTAGAGAATGCCCAGATTTTCCTGCGTGCGAGGTTCGTGCTAGCGTGTATGAAGGCCTAGGGTTTGCGATTATTCTCGTGCTCATGAAACTGTGATTATTGTGTGCCCCACTGTCGTGTTTGACGTTGGTGTTGCTTTGGGCTGCATCCCAGACTTATCTGTAGGCTTAAAACATGTCGTAGTTGCGGTCTGGGTCGTCCTCGTCGTCGTCGTCGTTGCTGTTCGCTGTCGCTTGCACCGCAGGACGGTCGCCGAGCGAGGCTCGGTGAACTCATGTGGGAGGTGTGGAGAGGTCCCCTTAGGCCTTCTTGGCAGTCTTCTTGAGTGGACTCCAGGTGCATCGGCCCCTTGAACTCAAGACCATTTCCTGAGCCTCTCTGAGATGTGTTTCAGTCCGCAGACACTCTGAAGGAGCCGCACCGTTCGTTCGGACAAAATCTGACTACTACAAGAGCCGTTTGACAAGAAGTTCTGTGCGCGTCAGAGGCTGGGTAAACAGACTTGATGGACGTTTCAGAAGCCTCAAACTGATATTCGCCTTGTCGGTCCAGGTGGCGACTGCTACATTTCGCCCTCAGAAGCTGCAAAAAGTCATGACCTCTGTCGTCCTCGACCAGAAGTGTGACAGCTGCTCTGAAAAACCATGAGGCCGCGAGAGGCGCGACGGCATTGAGTACGCCGCCGCGGCCTGAGGAGCACCAAAAATTCTTGCAGTTCCAGGCCCCCTCACAGATGGTCTTCGCTTGCAAGGACAGCAGTTCTGCTTCTCCGGTGCCTCTGCAGGGCCCGCTGCTAAGTGGGCTGTTGGGCTTTCGTTCCACACGCGACCGAGAGATTGGAAGCGTCTGCAGCCAGTGGAACAGAAGGGAGACAAAGCATGAAGAAGATGCTGTACCTGCCGAACAAACATGTTGAGAGTAACTAAGTTGCAAGGCTGATCTTGCTGTCGTTGCAGACTGCAAGCGTGCTTCCCGCACTAACGAAACGTACGAGAACATCCGTGCCTTCGGGCAAGCTGAACCAGTATCTTGCCTGTGGCACAACTGCAGACAAAATCCCTAGCCGGCCCTAGCCAAACCTGACTATGAAAGCCCCCATCCACAATGTAACAGCTCAATCCGGGCTGACACTGTGGCCTTAGTGATACATCAAGGCCCCGAGAAGCAGAATTCAGCCGTGAAGCAGAACCCACTGAAAGCACCCCATGCTTGCTTTGCCACGATTGCTTCTGCTGGTTCGTCTACAGCCGTAGCATGTGTAGCAGTGCCGTCGTCGTAGTAGTAGTAGTAGTAGTAGTAGTAGTAGTAGTGGTGGTGGTGGTGGTGGTGGTGGTGGTGGTGGTAGTAGTCGTAAGTGTCTCGGCCCAAACCTGGTTTTTCATTTCTTGGGCCCTCGTGGCTGTGCATGGATTTCGTTGCTGACTGACCTGGCTTTGCTCGCCTATTTATTTCTTTTGAGTGGCTGCCTGCTTGTGGGGCTTTCGAGCCGGGGCATGCCACGGTCGCAACAGGCTTCTTCCTCGTCGGCGTCTGACAGTTATGATAGTGACGACTTTCTTAGTTCGGTATCGAGTGAGGATGCTGACATGGGCCCTCCTGATGGTCCTGGCCAGGTGGCTTCTGCCGGAGATGGAGATGGAACCGGAGCAATGGCTGGCCCAGCCTTTACAGAGCTCCCGCCGGTGCAGCTTCCAGCTGCGTACCCGGACTACCCTGCCTTTATGGAAAGAAACGCAACAATGGCATTGCGAGAGCTGTGTTTCTTCTTCCTGGCGGACCACCTCATGCGCAACCACCCCAACCGACGCGTCTCCACGGCAAAGTACAATGCGCAACACGAAGTCGCGGCAACCAGGATCCCGGAGACCTCTATGCGTACGTTTACGTACAGCTGGAGGAAGGGCCTGCAGCGCGTCTGGATGCGGCGTATACAGCACTGGCTGAGTTATGGAACCGAGGGGTTCCGGAGAACGATGTATCGTGGCTGGCTCATGTGGGGTCCTTCCAGGACCCTCCGAGACATGTCTGCCTGCAGCATCTGGACCGAATGCTTAGGTCCAGCCTCCGACGCCATTTGGATGCCAGCAGTGCGGACCATATGGCCGACTACATGGTGGACTACATCAGAGGCCTGGACCTGTTCTACATCCCCACTCTGCTGGCCCTTTTCCCACTGCTGGACGATGATGGACGGAGAGAATTCCAGCAATGGTTCCTGGCCTATTCGAGCAGACAGCTGGATACTGAGCCGTCGTCCAGCTCCCGAGGCCCAACTGCGTAGCTGCCGAAACTGCTACGCCAGAGTGGACTTTGGCAAGCACCTCAAGCCGTACAGACTTCGCCCCTCCAGCCGACCTCGACGTCGCTTTCTACGACCAGGAGGCCGACGAGCAAGGATCTCTTTTCTTCTCTTGAGTGGCCGTCAGGCCACAGCAGTGCAGAGCCTTCTTGTACAGCTTCTTTGTACAGCTTCTGATTTCGCACAGTCAGCCCGGCCCATAGCCCGACCATCACAAGGTGGCCGTCCTGGTCCCAAGTCCAGGAGCAGGAGTCTGGCGAGCCCAAACCCATGGCGGATTGGAATCTTTCTTTTATATCAACACTTATGCAGAGCCATTGCCATGCCAGCTCCTGTAGACACGAGGGTTGGGGGCAATTCACACCTGAAACCCCCTGGAGCGCCACATACTACTCGACCGCATGTAGTCAGTGTAGCAAACCACAACGGTGTTTTTCCATATCCCAATAGGCATCCCAAACCTACCCGGAAAAGAGCTTTCCTCCGGGCCTGTGCCAGAGCATCCCAGCACGGCAGTACTATCTATCAGGGCAGGCGGCTCAGTGCCAGACAGCTCGGCGTGACTGTTCACGAGCCCAGACCTAGTAAGCCCCTCTCGCCTTCCCAACCCGACATAGGCCGGCTTCATTTCCTATCGTGGAATGCAGGTAGTCTCACGACTGAACGTCATCGTGAACTAACCACGTGGTTAGATACACCAGAGGGCAAACAGGTTGGTCTCGTTGCTGTGCAGGAGACGCATTGGCGAGGGCCCCTTGAATACACGACGACACGTTTTACGGCCCTACATAGTGGGGCCTCCCGACCCGAGGGTGGTCTGCTGCTTTAGTGTCCAAATCTCTACTTCCAGCAACCCAAATCCAGCACAATGAAATTATCCCTGGCAGATTGCTACATGTCCGACTTGAGCTAGACCCGGCCACACAACACCCCAACATAGATGTTGTAGTCTGCTATCAGCACGCCTGGTCCCTCCCCAAGCAGTGTACCAGTCGTGAGCAGCATCGGGACAAGGTGCTCTCCCATCGAGCAGAACTGTGGACCCGACTATCTACGCTTGTGGCTGCATTGCCCACCCGAAATCAACTATTGATTCTAGGAGATCTGAATGTTGACTTGGTTCCGGAGGGCTCCTTAGTTGGAAGAGGCACCTTTCAGCGTAAGACAGGGCACGCAGGAGACTCCTCCACTATGCAGGATATCATCCGCACCCATGACCTGATAGCCTTGAACACGTGGGGCCCACAGGGTAAACGTTCGTGCACGTTTCTGCCGGCTGGCCCGACGGGCCACAGCCAAATCGACTTTGCAATTGCCAGACGTGGCCAGGCTGACCCGGTTTCCCGTACGGTGGCCCCTAAAGCCTTGCCCTTTGTTCCGGTTACGGGAATGCGCCACCTGCCTCTGCTAGGTAGCATCCCCTTCCCAACCCGACCCTCTAAGGCCCAACCTAGCTCTAGGCTGCAGAGGCATAAGGTACAGCAGGTCTGTGAGCAACACCCTGAAGTTGAGTCTGCTTTTCGCGTGGAGCTTCAGCGTGCCATGGAGGCCCAGCCACATCTGCATACCGACTCTTTGTTTCGTGCAGCTTGGAGCCAAGCCACACGGCACCTGCCGGATCTGAAGCGCCCAGTCACGCCTGAGCACCGCTGTCAATCCGTTACAGAGCTATGGCGACTTCGAGCCATTGTCAAGCGTAGCCGACTCCGACCGTGCATCACACTTCAAGATTTTGTACGTCGGTGGAAAGAGCTTAGTGCTCTTCAAAGACATCAACGGGAGCTCAGACGACACTGCCAACAGCTTCGGCGCCAGCGACTTTCCCGGCGACTGCAAGAGGCTGTAACCTGTACGGGGTATATAGGAATCTTCAGAGTCCTGAGTTTGTTCTCCCCTAAGCAACCTAGACGTAAGCTCCAGCTCAAAGCCGCCAATGGCATGCCGCTGGACATAGCTTCGACGGTTCGGACCATCACAGATTACTACCAGGCTCTGTATCATAGACATCAGCCTGTTTTGTCGGAAAGCACTGGCCCTTCTTTTCAGGTCAGGTGGGCACAGCTCCACTCTGCTCTAGCCAGTTTGCCTCGCAATAAAGCCCTACCACCCGGAGTTGCCCCCTCTAGACTTTGGTGTATTGCAGCCGACATCCTCACGGACAAATATCTTCCTGTGCTCAACGGCTGGCTTGCAGACATGAGTGTCCCTCCGCCGGAGGAATGGCATGTGGCAGATCTGTGCTTGATTCCGAAGCCCTCCAAACCGTTAACAGGTCCCGAAGCCCTTCGCCCCATCTCCATTTCGAAAGCCCTCTCCATCATTCTCAACAATCACATCAAACCCCAGCTATGGCACCTAGTGGCAGATCTGCCCCAGATGGCATATCTTGAGAACCGCTCTGTGCAAGATGCGCTAGACAGAGCATCCGCCCACTGCGCCCGTGTCCGCGCGGTGCTCCGGGCACAGCGACAAAATATTCATCTACGCCGACAGGGGCACCGGCAGGCCGAATGCAAAGGCGGCGTCCTACTGTCCATTGACCTTCGACAGGCCTTTGATGTCATGCCGAAATCCAGACTTAAAGAGGCTATGGACCTTGCCCAAGTAGACTTGGCAGCCCAGCATGTCATATTGCAACTTCATGCACATGCTTGTCTTCGCATTACGCATGGCAATCAAACCGCCTCGCTGGACACGGCCAATGGAGTACGTCAGGGCTGTTGCTTGGCACCATCTTTGTGGGTCCTATACACAGGTCTCATACTCACCTACATTCGTAAGCAAGTTGACATGGCCGATTCCACTGTTTTCGCTGACGACTTTTTGTTCCATTGGATGGTTGACGGGGTCGTGCACCTGGAACAAGCCCTCACACACATAGTCTTTGTACTAGAAACCCTTGAATCCTTCGGAATGTCCATCAGCCCGGGCAAGTCTGCGGTCCTCATCGGACTTCGTGGCTCCAAGGCTGGATCGGCGCTGCGCAAACATGTTATCAGGGACCCGCGAAAAGGTAAACAATTACACTGTCACACCTCTAATGGGTTGATTCGCCTGCCTGTCGTTCCCAACCACCCGTACTTAGGAGCTGTCCTTAGCTATCAGTCCATGGAGGCTCTCACTCTCAAAGAGCGAATGCGCCAATCTTGGAGCTCTTTTCATCGCATTTTACCAGCCCTCCGCTCCAACAGTGTCGCGTTGCAGCACCGCGTTCTGGTCTGGCAGAGTTGCGTTCAATCCACCCTGATGCACGGACTGGATAGTGTAGGATTGGCCCCAGGAGGATCGACATTACTGCATAAACATGTAGTGCGTCAACTTAGACTTGTCAGCAAAGCTCCTTCGTACATCACTCATGAGGCCCCTGAAGCCCTGCTGACCAGACTTCGAGTTGCGGATCCGATTGAAACACTGCGTCTCCGAGTGCAGCGCCGCATACAGAATTGTCGAGAGGGTCACATGGCCTCTCTCCAGCCAAAACCTGTACATCACTGGTGGCAACAGTTGGAAGACAATCTCCGAACAGCGGCTGTTGACCCTCAACAACTTCAGCACCATCATCCGATGAGTGTGCCTACTCGTCTAGTAGCCCTGGCCCAACCGGTCAAACCAGTACCCTGCCCTACATGTGGACTCTACTTCCCCACAACCCGTATTTTGCGGATTCATATGTCCCTGAAGCACAAATCACCCACCCCCAGCAGTGAAGTCAAACCACAGCCAGCGCGTAGGCCCCAATCCGACATGCGGCGTGACTTTATGCAACATAGTCAGTCGGGATTGCCCACGTGCCGGCATTGCTCTTGGGTCTTCACCAGCTGGCCCTCGTTCTGCATGCATTTTGAGAGGGCTCGCTGCCCCGTGCTGCATCATGATGTCCCTTCGTCGTTGCATCCAGGTTCGGCTCGCAGAGACAACCCAGCGGACATTCCCAACCTATCTACTCGCCCTAATGACCCTGATACAGCCCAAGTACATACAGCTCAGGAACTTGACTTGGTTTCAGTTGAGCCCGAACCTGGTGCAGAGAAGGCTTTTGCCTCAACTCCACCGCCTCCCATTCGGAGTGATGCTAGCCCTCACCCAGATTCTGCCCCTGAGCCTATAGACCTGCACCCCTGCAATAGTGACCGACCCCCAATTGACCAGACCTACATGCCCGAGACCCCGGCTCACTCCTCTGGGGCTGTGAAGGATGTCACCCGTCGATATCCCTACTTGCCTGAGCAACTCTGTGAGGTTGCTGTTGCAGCTGATTGGCAGCTCCTTGCGAAACTGATCAAGAGCACTGATTATCATCACTGCGTGCTTTGCGGTCAGTGGCTTGCACATCCTGGCTACCTTTCCAGGCATGTTAAAGCACAGCATGCAGAGGCCTTTGTGTTCCACAGCGCGGTGCTCAAGTGGCTCGAGAGTCGAACGACCTCCATCCTTAGCCCCTGCCAGTTCTGTGACACAGACTTTAAGGTGCGCAAGTGCAGCCGCCCCAGACATGCACGTGAGTGCCCAGTCCTGTATCGTGCAGGCCTTCTCCTCCGGCTGTGCGCTTCTTACACTGTGCCTGCAGCAACCTGCACTCCCTCGACCGTTCATGTCAACGACTGCACTACAGGTCATGGAGTCGCACATGAAGGATGCCCTTCGCCAGGAGATCCAGGATGTGTCCAGCCAGGAAATCCTGGCAGCAGCGGATCAGGCGAACCTCCTTTCGGCCATGATGCGCAGGTCGGCAGGAGCCCTAGACAAGCCAGCCCCGAGCGATCCAGGTCAGGGCAGCACAGGACCGAGCACAAGGGAGGCGGAGGCCGCGACGACGCCGGGACCCGAACCGGAGCCCATGGAGACCAGAGGGACAAGAGGGCAGCGGAAAGTGCCAACCCGGCGGGAAAGGGCAATGGAGATCAGGAGAAATGGCCCAAGCCCTCCGCCAAAGGCAATGCCAGGACATCCGAAGATGGCTGGCAGCGGGATCACAGCCAGACCTCCAACAGACGTCGCGGAGCTCAGGACCGTGCCTGGGGGAGCCGAGACTGGCCGACTCGTCAGGAGCGCTCGGATCGCCACTGGAGGAGCGACTCGGACAGGGACCGCGACAAGGACAAGGCCATCTTGAACCTTTGCCTGAGCATGGGCAGGCTGCTTCTTCGCCACGAGGATCAGTTTGGCATCAATCGTTCCCAGGACAACTACGTGATGTTTGCCCAATGCCAGGGTATGTTGTCGATGGTCCCGGAGCTCTATGTCGCGGCCGAAGCCTGGAAAACCATGAAGAAGGAAACCCCGGCCCTTCTTACTCTGCCTCTCCGGGCTTGGTTGCTGAAGCACTGGGTGGACCTGATGCTCAAAAGGGTCGAGATGATTATGACCAGCGAGGAGACCATCCAGCAGGCCAAGGACATGCTGATCCTCGACGAGCAGTGCAATGTTCCATACCTGGAATGGAATCGCACCACCCGGGCTTTGCAGGTGAAACGGGACCGAGACCCGATGACCCTCACCCAGGTCCTCGAGCTCCTGAAAACCATGCAGACCCTGGTGATCCAACCGATGACGGTCATGAGGTTTCATGCGACTCGGGAGCTCTGCCAGGACATGAAGTCGGAGGTGGTGCCGCTACTTCTGCAGGTCGGCTCAAGGACAGCCGAAGGGCATCAACTATGGAACTCCCTGCAGCGCTTGTGCCACAGTGCAGCCTGCCGAGTGACCGCGGTCTCCCTGCGCGGCGACAGAATGGGCAGATCGGCCTTGGGTGTGGCGGTGCAGAAGCTCGTCGAAGAAATGTACGGAGCTTAAGCCTTGCCAATCCTTGCAACTATTGCTATGGAAACTCAGCAGTGATTTCGCTTTGTTGGTTACTCTGCATAGGCCCACCCGATGAGCAGCCCCTCCTAGAGCCGGCCCTGATGCTGATTTTGAAATGGCTTTGTGCTCAGAAGGGCACTGTTGCCCTGTGGCAGAATGTCAGATGGCTCGCTTTGCACACAGCCTGGCGTGAGCCATCCAGGCAGCATGATGTAATTGAGTACTTCGCATTTCTGCGTCCGTGGCTCAGCCCACACATTCGCCACGGTTCATGGGAGGCCCGTCAGTCGCGTTCCGAAGGCACTCACAGTGTGGATGAGGGCCACACGTGGCCGCTGATGATTTCAGCCTCTTTGTCTGAGTTGGCAGCCCAGCAAGCCGAGCCGATCTCTCTGCAAGCCCTGATTGACATGTGGAGTGCGGCCCAGGTCGGCCTGCAAGCGCTGACCTCTGAGCCCCCAGCGATCCTGATTCAGATTTGCCAATTTAAGCTAGGCCCCCCTAATCCTGGTTCTAAGGTTTTCCTTAGGGTTGAACCCGAGCCATACATCATGATCCCGGCCTTCATACATCATCTGAATCACCTCGAGCCGCTGGCGTTGCAGTACCGGAGATACTGCCGGGTAGCCACAGTCCTTCATGAGGGAGGTGAGCTGCTGGCAGGGCACTACAGGACGGTCCTGTATGACCCCAGCTTAGGCAGCCTTATCACGAATGATGCTGTCCCTGCCCATCGCCTGCCGTCTCGACTTGAAGCACATGTTCAGAGTAACAGTTATGCCTTCATATACAAGTACTGTCCGGAGAT